CGCACCCCTCACTGGGGGACTCTGGGCAGGGGCTCCACTACAGAGCCACACCCCAGCCCCTCACTGGGGGACTCTAGGCAGGGGCTCTACCCCTGAGCCACACCCCAGCCCCTCACTGGGGGATTCTAGGCAGGGGCTCTACCCCTGAGCCACACCCCAGCCCCTCATTGGGGGATTCTAGGCAGGGGCTCTACCACTGAACCACACTCCAGCCCCTCACTGGGGGATCTTGCAAGCACTGTAGCTCTGGACTGCATCTGTAGTCCTCTTTTTTGTCATTAGCCTTTTATTTTTCCTGTTTTGTTTTGTTTGTTTTTTTGAGACAGGGTTTCTCTGTGTAGCCCTGGATGTTCTGGAACTCTCTGTAGACCAGGCTGGCCTTGAACTTAGAGATTCACCTGCCCCTGCCTCCCAATTAGAGAGATGCTCCACCACTGCCCAGATTCTTTAGCCCTTTTAATTAAAGTTACACGATTTATTTATTATGTGAATGTGCAGGTGGTTGTATGGACAGAAAGCTTTGTAGACTCGGTTTTTCCTTTCATGGTGTAGATACCAGAGACTGAACTCGGGGTACAGATCCCGGCAGCCAGCAACCTGTACCTGTACCTGCTGAACCAACTTGCAAGCATGTTTTTTCTTCTTTTCTTTTTGTTTTGTGTGTCTGCACATTTTGCTTGCATGTGTGTGAGTGTGCAGCCTGGTGCCTGTGGAGGCCCACAGACGGTGTGGAAGCCCCAGAACTGGGGTTGAGGACAGGTGTTAGCCTTCCCGTCGGTGCTGGGAACTGAACGTCCATGCAGGCGGTCTTAACCACTGATGCGCCTCAAATGCCTTTTCTTTCACAAAATAAGGAAAGGTTTTAGGTGGTGGAGAGCCAGTTAGTGACGGGGAAAACGAGATTTGGGCTTTCAGGTCCCCAGACACAGGAACAGCAGAGGGCGCCAGCATTGCTCAGGGTGTGAGAATGGAGGACAGGAGGAGGACCTGGCGCATGGGGTCTGCTGACCGCTGGGCCTGCTGACCGCCAGGGCCATGCCCCCATGTGGGGCCTACTGACCCCCAGGGCCCGTGCTGACCTCCAGGGCCGAGGACCTGGAGCGTGGGGCCTGCTGACTGCCAGGGCCGTGCAGGCTGCGTGAACGTGAGGCTGCCCCGAGCCTGGGAAAGGGGCTGCGGGCGGGAATAACGGTCCATGTTTCACGCATCCTGGACAGACAGAGGCGTTCCTGGTTCCGACACATGTCAGGCCCGCCCCTGGCTAGGCCAGCAGGGCCCTCTGGAGCACGGCATCACGCAGGCTTCACCAGCAGAGGAGGCCGTCTTCTGTCTTCTGTGTGCTGAACTGGGCTCTTTCTTCTGTCCACGGGGCTTGAACTGGGGTGTCCTTGACTGCAGGGCGCTCCACCACGGACCCAGGTCCTCAGCCTCGGTTTTTAAATGCTTGGCAGTGTTCTCGCCAGCCCAACACTGTTAACTCCCTGTGCTGACTGAGTCTTTGTTTCCCTGTGGTGCTGGAGATGCAGCCCAGAGCCTATGTGCACAGCCTGTGAGCTACAGCCTCTGCCTCGGGCTTCCTTTCCATTCTCTTACTGAGGTGCAAACTCTCTCTGTGCCCAGTGCATGGCTCCTGTGCTGTGCACCCCTGGGCCATCTGGCTCCTGTCTTGGGGGACCCCTGTGTGGTGTTTCAGAACTTGAGGCAGGGCGGGTTAGCTGCCCAAGCACTTGGCTAGCACGCACAAAGCCCTGGAGTCCATCTCCAGCACTGTGTAAACTCACCTGGTGGAGGCAGCCATGACTGCAGAGCTTGGAGGTGAACGCTGGAATTGCGGCTGTGTAAGCTCATCGTTGATTCACAGCCTTGAGTCCACTCCTGACACAGGAGATTATGTCTCAGAGGGCAGGCAGGAAGGAAGGAAGGCAGGAGGGAGGGAGGGACGGAAGCAGATTTCAAATTGACCCCCCTCCCAAGACAGGTTCTTGCTTCTGGCTCAGGCCCTCGGCCCCAGGTCATCCTGCCTCTCTCTGCCCGAGTCTGACGTAGACTCCCTGTGTCCAGCCTTCACATTAAGCCGACCGTTGCTCTGTTCCTTTGTCCACTTGTGTTCCAAGGGATGGATGGAGCTTTAGGGACCAGTGGGGCTTGCTGACCTTGGGGCTTGCTGACCTGTGGGGCTTGCTGGTGACCGTCTCTGTGTCCTACCAGGCTCTGGAGACCCGGGCCAGCCCTGGCCACACCCCAGGCTGTGTTACCTTCGTCCTGAATGACCGAAGCATGGCCTTCACTGGAGATGCCCTGCTGATCCGAGGGTGTGGACGGACAGACTTCCAGCAAGGTGACCCCTGACCCAGCCCAGGACCTCAGTGTGCTGTGCTGTGAGAGTGCCCAAGAGCAGCCGCGTAATAGGAGTCCCTGTGAGGGGGGTCAGCCAGGGTTCTGGAGAGAGTTTGCCTCACAAGGGGGGTGGTGGAGAGATGGAGGGACAGGCACAGGAAGGAGTGAGCAGCTGGCGGAGCAGCTCAGCCAGCATGCCTGAAACCTGGCTTCCGTCCTCATCCTCTATCAACCGGGAGGAGCTGAACCAGGCCTCCCACCCCAGCACTCAGGAGGGGAGGCAGGAGGATGGAGAGTGTAAAGCCATACAGAACATGCGTACACACAGACATGCTACATGCCGTACACATACACACGTGCTGTTCCTGTGCCCGGTTTAACTGTTGGGGAGTGTAACGTTTGGGGTTAGGTGAGGAGTTGCTCTTTACCTCCCCTTTTCAATGATTTGTCTGCACTGATGACTCAGAACTTGGCATCTGTGTGTGTTTGGGGTGTACTCGGAAGCCAGGAGAGACACCAGGTGCCCACTGTATACGCCTCGCCTTGTTTCCTTGACACGGGGTCTCAGTGAGCCTGGCCAGGGCTGGCAGCCAGCGGGCCCTCGGCGTGCTCCTGCCTCTGCTGCCTGCAGCGCTGTAGTCACGCTAGCATGGACCACACCTGCCTGGGGTGCTGGGATCCGAACTCAGGCCCCAGGCATGCACAGCAGGCGCGTTTCCCCTCGCCGTCCCTGCAGCGCCAGGCTCACACCTTCTCAGTTAAGCCACATGTCACTTTCCCCTGATCCGGACCTTACCGAATCACAGATTATCCCGTTTCATCTATGCTGCTCCGCCCCCCAGAATGAGACACTAAGAGCCTCCTCTGTGTCTCCTGACGGGAGGCTTAGCCGTGGTGCCCTCAAGCTCCGCCCCTCTCCGGGGGAAGGGGTGGGGCCTCCTGCAGTCCCTGTGACCCGCTGACCTCTAAGTGTTCTTCCCTCAGGTTGTGCTAAGACTTTGTACCACTCTGTGCATGAGAAGATCTTCACGCTTCCGGGCAACTGTCTCATCTACCCGGCTCACGATTACCACGGTGAGGGAGTCCATGACGGGCTGCTGACCCTGAACACGGGGCTGCCCTCTGCCCGCCGTCCTCAAGAGGCACGGAGGCCACAGAACGCAGAGGCCTCTGTGGCCGAGAGATTATGTGCTTGGGCCTGCTGTGTGGATGGAGAAACCGTGAGACGCATCTGCAAGGCATAGGCCTTCCGAGGAGTCCTCAGCGAGCGGCGGGAACTGTGGGGACTACATTTCCCATAGTGCCCAGAGACAGCAGGGCCTGCTTCTCAGGACAGATCACGGAAGAGCCAGTTAGGCCCCAGCCAGGGAGACGCCCTCCACGGCCTCCTGGGAAATGTAGTTCCGAGCTGCCCAAGGCAAAGGGCCATTGGTTACTTTCCTTTCCCTTTGTGGACAGGGCTCACCGTTTCTACTGTGGAGGAGGAGCGGACTCTGAACCCACGGCTCACCCTCAGCTGCGAAGAGTTCATCAAGGTCATGGACAACCTGAACTTGCCCAAGCCGCAGCAGATAGGTGGGTTACCCAGGGTCAGGACTGTGGGGTGGGAGGAGAGCATGGTTGGAGTTTGAACCAGTAGATCTGAGGGAGGAGGGGCCTGAACTCCTTGATCTGAGAGAAGAGCTGGGATTTGGTGCCCTGGGTCTGAGGGAGGAGGTTGTCCTGGACCCCTGGTCTGAGGGAGGAGGCTGTCCTGACCCCTGGTCTGAGGGAGGAGGCTGTCCTGGACCCTGGTCTGAGGGAGGAGGCTGGCCTGGACCCCGGGTCTGAGGGAGTTGGGTTCTGGACCCCTGGTCTGAAGATGAGGACTCAGGACCGGAACTGGTCCTTCCTAAGAGCAGGGAGGATTTCTGGGCGTCGGTGGGACGCTAGGTGTCCCTGCATCCTTAGAATCATTGTGGCTTCTTCTTTTCAGATGTCGCTGTTCCCGCAAACATGCGCTGTGGGGTCCAGACTCCACCTTCCTGACTGACACAGCCAGCTGCTCATATCCGTTAAGAATGCACTAGGTGGGGGAGGGGAGGGGTGTGACCCCTGATCCCACCCCACCCCCGTCAGCACTTGAGCATCTTAAATAAACTCCACTTTAGTTTTGGCACAAATCTGAGTTCCACTTGTTTTCTTGGGAAGGAATGGTGTTTCCAGATAAGCGCGGAGACTCCGTCCTGGCCCCTCAAAAAGCCAGGCCCCACGTTGGTAGAGGGCTTGGGTAGCACGCGTGAAGAGGAGCAGGGCGGGAGGTGCATGCCTGTAATCCCGTGCCCCGGTGCTGGAGGAGGATGGTCAGGAGGGAGGCCAGGCCGGGCTGGGAAGACCCTGCCTTAGAAGAAGGGGCGGGCGCTGGAGCGATGGTTAAATGATGGAGAGCCGCCGCTCTTGCAGAGGACCCAGGTTCAATTCCCAGCACCCACACGGCGCTCAGAAACGCCTGGAACTCCAGGTCCCGGGGGTGTGGCCTCTGTGGGCACGAGACGCCCATTCCCAGAAGATGGAGGAGACAGCCTGAAGGCCCAGGAGGGAGGAGCAGGAGCACACACTGATTAGGGGGCACGGGATTCCGTGCGAGCCTCCCCACCCGGGCCGAGGGGGCCCCCCGCACCCCCGGCTTCTCAGCTTCCCCGTGGAAACAGCCTCACGACGTTCCAGTGAGCTGCTGCGTCCAGATGTGTGACTCCTGGCCTCTGCCCGCACGAGCGTGCCCGGCCCCGCCGCGGTCCTCCCCGGCTTGGGATGACAGTTTGCCCAACAGTGATGGAAACGCCCAACGGTGGTCAATAAAGGAGAGCTGCCCGCGCCCCGCCACAGCGGGAGGCCGGCCCACCCCTTCTTTCCGGGGACCCTGAGGGGTCAAACGCCTCCCCGCCGCTCCCGACCTCTATGCGCCGGGTTTTGCAATCCAGACCTGCTCCCGAGGGGACAGGGTCCGCCTGTGACCTCTGACCTCTGCTCTCCACCCCGGGTAAACTGTGGTGTGGGGCACAGCCCGCCGCCGGGCAGATCCGGTCGCTGACTCAGCTCGGGACACCCCCTCCCCTGCCGGGCTCCCTAAACCGGTCGGGGCTCTTCCAAAGCGCTCATTAGAGGGGAGAGGCCCCCGTCTTCATTCCTATCTTCCAGGATTTCCTGGTCCCGGCCCTCGGGAGGCCGCCGCGTGCAGGTGCCCGACGCGCCCGGCCCTCCCGGGGCACAGGAGCGGGGCGCCGGGGGCTGCGTGGGCTGCGTGGGCGGGGCCGGAGGGCCTGAGGGCGGGGCCGGAGGGCAGGAGGGCGGGGCCGGAGGGCCGGAGGGCGGGGCCGGAGGGCGGGGCCGGAGGGGC